CGCATATACTACTTCAATTTACTCAATTATAGGTAAAGTGGCACTATGTACCAGGAAAGCAAAGAATCCAGCTGAGAGGATCTTGAATGTGTATGGTGCTCATGCTGGGCCAGTGTATGCTGTACAGAGGAACCCTAGTGCACTGAAGAATTTCTTGACCATTGGAGACTGGTCTGCCAAAATTTGGGCAGAAGATGTCAGAGACTCGGCCATTATCTCCACAAAGTATGTTCATATCTTCTTACTTTTGTTTACTGCAACCCAGACTTGAGCTGCTGGTCTCTATAAAGGCCCATTGTTGCATCTACCAGTACTGTATATGCATTCTTTACAGGTATACAGTATGTCATAGTTCTCAGCATGGAGTTTTAACATTGATTCAATGACTGCTAAAGGCAATACATTTCCTATGTGCTTGAGATGAGAATTATCATCATCAGAATAAAGCTCATTATCCATTATTGAATGATGGTATAGACCTTCTAAAATGATATCTGAAAAACTTAACTGATGTAAACAAAAAATCTGCAAGTCTTCCTTCATTTGAATAGAAACATAAAATTTAAAATAGGATTTCACCATGATTTTCCTCATAGCTAGCCAGCATAAATACAGAGTTAATGAATTGAAAACTCAATTTTTTCATATTTGGAAATTCATATGCATCTGATATAGTTGGATGAACTTCTGAGTTCTGACAAAAAAAGTCTCTGAATGTTCAGACTTTAGAATTTTCACACAGTAAAGGGCTCATTTCCTTGCAGATCTGGAGGAGTTGAAGTATTTTCTCAGTGCTTTTGTCAGTCATTTTGATGTCTGAAATGGTTTCCTGTTCAATTCTTGCAAGGTTTCAGTTATTGTTGATTACCTCAGGTATAGGTTTTGATAATGCAGATTCACTTTAGTCCCCTAAATTTTCCATTTTCCTAGTTTCATTCTAGAGAAGAGGGATAACGATTTTTCATAAATTGAAATTGTTCTTGGGTCAATGAAAAAGCAGGCCATTTTCTCTCTGGCCCTGAAAAAAATAATGTATGTCATTTCGATATGGCTCATATAGGGGAACATCCAGTTGAGATCAAAATTTTGTGCATAAATTTAAAAATAATTCTCATGTCCACATATTACAGTATTGTATGGATATTCATGATGAAAAAAATATTCTGATGTGCAGGGACACAGTAAGAAAATATGGGATATTGAATCAATGCTCATCGCCAGTAGATTGAAGTAACATGTTCTTCCACTGCTTGTGTGTGTGTGTGTGTGTGTTTGGTTCTGAATGTATGTATGTATGTATGCATGTATGTATGTATGTGTGTGTGTAATCAATTATATTGGCTGCAAGTCTCCGGTTATATAGCAGAATTTGTTCTGCATTTGATCTCATTTTTATTTGTTGGGTTCGCTCGTCGGAAATGCAGGGCACAACCTGCTCGCTTGATCGATGGCTGCTGGAACCCGACACGGCCATGCACTTTCTACACTGCAAACCTCAACGGAGTCCTGGACGCATGGGACATCTTGGCCTATCACTCAAAGCCGATTTTCAGCTTGCAGGTGACATTTTTCTTCTTTTTTCTTGAATGTAAGTCCTTCTCAGCAGTCACGTTTTCTTTTGCCAAAAAAAAAACCTCAAGAGAGACGAAAAAATGAAATACTTCACTGTACTAGGCAAAAGTTCAGATTGGTCAGAGTTTACGTTGCAGGAACAAACATGATCAACATGCAGGAGAAAAATCTGATTTTTTCATCAGAAAACACGTTCAGGTGAAAACTATCTCTCTCTCACATCTGCAGCAAAGCTCACAGGACAATAAAAAAAATTGTTATGGCAGAGAGCATTTCAATGTATATATAGAGAACCCCTACAACATGGGAGATAATTTCACATATCCTGCGCGACCAAAAAAATTGTTGTCAAGAGAAAATCCTTGTATATTGACCAAATTGTTGTAGAAATGTATATGGACAACAGAGACCACCTGTAGATACATTGAGACCCCAAAATACTTAATGGACATTGCAACATATACAGTACAGCCAATGCGACTTAGGGACACTTACACCTCTGCCCCTGACATATGGACAGTGACTCAAGATACAGACACTTTTCTAAGATTCCTGGAATATTTTATAAATTTTTCTCAATTTTTTTATATGTAGAAGAAATTGAAGTATTGACATTTGTTGAAGACAACAGCCACCACAACATGAGGATAAAAATACTGGCTGTGGATCAAGAAAATTGGAAATATAAACACGGAATCAGCCAGGGACAAGGCTGGGGATTCTCAGGAGATTCCCTACTTTAACATTTGATCTGCGTATTTCAGATGATTGTCCCAACAACAGCAAAGATTTGAACAAGTCACAAAATATATTAATGAGCAAAAAACCTCTCAGCAAGCTCAAAACAGTAACAGACTGTTCAACATGCCACAGCTAGGCTCAGACTCATGATGAAATTGGGAATAAAAGGGATTTTTTATTAATTATTGTTACCGGCCTTGATCCGGCACTCTGGCCAGAGATCAGGCAATTTGTTAAGGCTTGGGATTGGCCAGGAAAATCTGAGTCAAGGACAACTCTGGGGACAGAAAGCCTTGGAAGATGGTTCTGGAATTTTACCAGTCCTTCTGGTGTCCTAAATTGGACCATTTTCTGAGTTTGTCCTTGAGTAATTTTTCTATCCAATTTACTCATGCCTCAATTGATGAGGCCCTCATCACACTGGCGGCGGCGGGTCCCCAACAACATTTACAAATGCTAGAAATAAATTTCTGTAGAGCATTACCCTAATTCACAATCAAAAACCTGATTATTCTGTTCTTCCTTTTCTAGTTTTATTTATTTATTTTTTTGCTCTATACAGAAAAACTCTTGTTTGATGCTTCTTTTTCCTTCTTGATGCCAAATAAAGATCAGTTTCTGTTTGATTGTCTTCTGTATGTTTATTTATTTTTTCTTGAAGTTCAGCACAAGTATTCTATTCCTTTTTTGTGATTTTTCAAAACTGCTCAACTACAGGAAAATCTTTGGGGATATGAGCTTGGGCATGCAGATGCTCCAACTTAGGGACAAGGTCCATGCATGCCTTATGTCCACATCTCTGGGTCCCACTGTGAAAAGATTGATCATGATGGAAATGAGAAAAGTATTTTCTTAGATTAGAATCCAGGCCTGATAAAGGAATAAGTTAGAGAACCTTCTGAAAGGAAAAAAACTGCTTTATTTGTATAAAAAGATTCAAAACACAATTTATTGGGCATTTTAAAAATCTCCCTAACACACTTGCTTGAAGAAAGAAAATAATTGTGAATGCACTCTTTCATACAATTTTGAATGCACTCTTTCATACAATTTTGAATGCACTCTTTCATACAGATTAATGTATGATGTATTTATCATGTATCATGATAATGATCACATGATTTTCACACTGCTACAATAAGTGAAGACTAAAATCAATGCCTAATTTCAACATCAAGATCCAATCCGTCAGAACTCAGAAGCAAGATGGATCAGGCAATTGAAAAGTAAGTCAAAACTAAATATTTTCTTTCCATGTACAGTACTTGTCAAGTGAGATAAAAACTGGAAAGCAGAAGTTTTTTTCAGGCACGTCTTTTTGGGGTTATTCTCTGAGATTTTTTCTGTTGATTGCGTTGGATTTGTCTTGGAGAGATTAGGAAGAATGCAGATAATGATCAGAAATATTATTGTCATACACATTCAACCAATTCAAGGAAAATTTGCGCGAGGCTTTTGATCAGCACAAAGGTTATTAAAGGCTTCTTTTATTCCTGCAGTTTGTCCACTCCAACAGTAATTATGGGCAATAGATCTGAATCGCGGTCAAAAACTGCATTGAAACAGAAATGGGAATGAAGGAAACCTATTTTTGTGACTCTTATTCAATGCTCTATTGAAAATTTTCACAGTAAAACTGTGATTGAGGGAACTATTTGATATCTTGGATATTCAACAGTTGTCTTCATTTAAGATCTATTCATCATCACTAGTAAGCTAAATTCAGTCAATTGCTTGCAGAAAATTAGAAAACTGCAACTGAATATTTATCTATACATGTCATTCAAATCATAAAAACCTTTCAAAACATAATTTTTAACACCTGATTTTGAACTAGATGACCGGAAATGAGCTTAAAATATTGATATTGAATGCTTAAAAGTATCCATATTTGTGAGTCAAACTACAATGATGCCAGCTGGAAAAATCGCCTAAATTGTTGACATGATTATTTATTTCATAAGTATGTCTATCAGCTGGAAGCTAATGAAATTCAAAATGTTTCCAGTTTAATTTAAGCATTTGTCTATAGAAGAGTTTTCAGAGCAGTTAGAAACATGATTGAAATTCATAAAAACCATGTGTCTCCAGGATAAAAGATTAAAAGAGCTTGATACACATCTCCCTTGCTCTGGGTCAGGAAAAATGTCAACAGGTCCAAAGCCTCTTTGATCCACATGATCCCAGCTTTTGCTTATTTCTCATTCAAAACCATTGATCAAACTGGATTATGAACAGCTTTTTGAACACACCTGACCATTCACGTCATGATAAGGAACAGCAGTGAAATGAACAACTGTCTCTTTAAAAAAAAAGGTAGGACATAATTCATGCTGAGCTGGTATGAAAATCCATGGGTTTTTTAGTTTGAAAAATAATCCTTTTTCTGCAAAAATTTCCAGAGACTTTAGGGTTTTTTATTGATTTAAGAAAGACTTAGTAAATATTCTCATATTTTATGTACTGCCCTTCAAAGTAATATTTATACATTTTAATATGATGCATTCCCAGGTTTGTGATGAGGGACTTCAGTGCATCAGAGTTGAGGAATCTGGTCATTTGCTGGCTGCTGGTTCTGTGGAGGGAAATACTTACCTTATACAAGTGTCAGAGTCTCTCAATAGGATGTCCAAGAATGAGAGAACATTGATGACTGCTGTGAGTAATCCTATTTTAGTGCATATTTTTTCTGAATGAGACTTTCCTATGCATGGTATGTGTTTTGGGATCCACAGCTTTTGGAGAGAGAAGCCCATAGAGAGAAACTGTTGGAGCAAAGAGTCAAAGAGCAAAGGGTCAGAGAAAGGAGCAGTGGCAGGGTTGCCAATAACACACCTGGAACACCTGGACCAAATCATGAAGAAAGATTCCTCATGCCCATGGATCATGAAGCCATGGAGAAAGCGAAAAAGGACTATCTGTCTGCTGTTAAAGCAGTAAGTAGACTAAGACACAGTATATACAGGCTGGTACCCCACAATTCAACCCTAATCCATTGCTAGACTATTTTCAAATTGTGAAGTGTTCATGTTGTATAAGACAAGATCAAATGCAATTTTTTCTACATCATATTTGAAATTTTGTTTCTCTCTGTGGATCAAATTCTGAGTCAACCTCTCAGGACATTTGACAGTCAAATTGCAGGGTGCTCAAATTGCAAGGTACCACCTGTACCAACATATGCCAAAATGAAAAATTCAATATTTTTGAATAAACTGGAGACATTTTTGAATTGTATAGTTTCTTATAATTAAATTCAGCGATAGAAAATCACAAGACACTAAAACATTAAATATTCCCACCCTACTCTTAATATAAATTTTTTCAATGTAATGGCGCTTTAAGATAATTGTTTCTGCAACAAAAGTGAATGAATACAATACAGTTAACCCCCATCTAATGGACTGGATTGGTGCAACGGACAAGTCTGTTAGACGAAAAGTCCTTTACACGAATTCAATTACATAAAAATAAAAAATTTCAATTAAGTTGTGATTAAAATTTGGTTTTCAAGTCTGTTTGGTGGATTTTGCCTGTTGGGCAGGAGGAAAAACTGCTTGCAGAGCTGGTCTTTTTGGCAAAAATCCCTTACACGGGAGGTCTGTTAGGCAGGGGGCCACTGTATTGTAGTCAGAATTCAGTGCATTTCTAAATTCAGCTTTCTTTCAATGTATAATTTTCTAAAGTCCTCTCCAGTACATATTCAGTAGAAGATTATTGAGAAATTTTTATTTTGCTGGCCATTAGTTCAAAAGGAAAATTTTGTGACTTTTTTTGTGCTCCAAGGTACTTGTAAAATTGAATGATGAATTATTTTATTCCAAAGTACAGCGCTCCAGAATTCCAGCACTATATCTTAGTGAAGATGGGATTTTTGAATGGATATTATTCAAGGAAATGGATGCACTGCAAAGCATTGAGAAGGAAAAAGCTGAAAATGGTCCATGTGGTACCTTGCAATTTGACCTCTTGCAATCAATCATCCAGCAATTCAATGGTCAAATTCATGGGATAGGACATATCAAAATTTGACCTCTGCCACACAGTTTTATCTGCAGAGAGACAT